CGGATGAGTACGACGATATTTCCGACGAAATTCGAAACAGCGACGATGAAGCCGAGTTTCCGGTGGATTTGCCACCGGAATCGAGTCGGCAACGCGTGGAGTTTAGGTGGCAGAGAGTGGAAAAGCTTCGTAGTCTTGTTCGAGATTTTGGTGTGGAAATGATTGATATCGATGAACTCATTTCCATCTACGATTTTCGAATCGACAAGTTCCAGGTTTGTGCTTAAGTCACTCTCTGGATATTTTTGGAGGTTTTTAAATCTGAAATTGCTTCGTTTTGGCCAGAGATTGGCTATTGAGGCTTTTCTGAGAGGCTCTTCTGTGGTGGTTTCTGCTCCGACTAGTAGTGGAAAGACTTTGATAGCCGAAGCAGCAGCTGTTGCTACGGTGGCTCGAGGTCGCCGATTGTTCTATACTACACCGCTTAAAGCACTCTCTAATCAAAAGTTTCGCGAGTTTAGGTAATCGTTGATTCCCATTAAGTTGATGAGTAAGTTGTGTGAAGCAACTATAATGGCTAAAATGTGGTTTTATTGTGAATTTTAGGGAGACATTTGGTGACGATAACGTTGGTCTACTCACAGGTGACTCTGCTATCAACAAAGATGCTCAGATTGTGATCATGACTACAGAGATTCTCCGTAACATGTTGTATCAAAGGTATTTTTCTCATTTGGACACTATCAACTGCATCTCTCTGTGTAGTTGGCCTTTTTTAGGAGCTCTTTTAACGCCGAGTTTTTGTGTCGGAATCTTTTAGTGTTGGAATGTCTTCTTCAGGAACTGGACTTTTTCATGTTGATGCGATTGTTTTGGATGAGGTTCATTATTTAAGCGATATATCTAGGGGAACTGTGTGGGAAGAGATAGTGAGTTCTTCTTCCACTGTTTCTCTTCTTTCGTCCACAGGCTTATCAGTCCAGTGTCTCAGTAGGATTCTGTTTTTGATATGATCAGGTCATTTATTGCCCCAAGGAGGTTCAACTTATATGTCTATCAGCCACAGTTGCAAACCCAGATGAATTAGCTGGTTGGATTGGTGAGGTGAGTTTGTAGACATTTTCCCTATGGGAATGCATTGCAGCTTTCCATTATCATGTTCCTACCATAAGGAGTTATAACAATGTACCTAATGCCTTGTTTATTGTCTCATTTGTCTTCTATTGTTAAGCAACGTAATTACTTTTTTGTTGATCAAGTACTCAATTCCCCGTTAGCTACTAGTATTACAACTGCAGTAATCCTGAGATTCATTAACCACTGGTTCTCTAAGATTTGTTGGCTGCTCATTGTGTTTTTGTCCTCAGATACATGGTAAGACTGAGTTGGTAACATCGACAAGACGCCCAGTTCCATTAACTTGGTACTTCTCAACAAAACATTCTTTACTACCTCTGCTTGATGAAAAAGGCACAAATGTGAATAGGTAACTTGTTCAACTCTATGCTTTTATCATCAGCCTGTAGTGTAGAATATTTCTCTCTGATAATAACTGCAAGAAGTTTTGTTTATTGGAGCAGGAAGCTGTCTCTCAATTATTTGCAACTGTCTGCCTCAGAAGCTAGATATCGTGATGATGATGACAGGCGTAGGGGAAGGAGGTCAAGAAAACAAGGAGGTGATACGAGCTACGACAAACTCATGAACAATTCTGATTATCCTCTTACAAAGAATGAGATGAACAAGATTCGCCGTTCACAGGTCTTACATTATGCTTCCTAACGAGCTGGGCATTTGTCATATTTGACGATGATTTTAAATTTCTCATATGATAAGTTAATGACTGAGCTGAGTCTTGACTTTTAGGTACCTCAAATTAGCGACACACTGTGGCATCTCCAGGGAAAAGATATGTTACCAGCAATATGGTTCATTTTTAACCGTAGAGGATGTGATGCAGCTGTACAGTATGTCGAAAATTTCAACCTTTTAGATGATTGTGCGAAGAGTGAGGTTGAGCTGGCCTTGAGGAAGTTTCGCATTCTTTATCCAGATGCAGTGAGAGAGAGTGCAGAGAAAGGACTGCTAAGGGGAATTGCTGCTCATCATGCAGGATGTCTACCTCTTTGGAAATCTTTCATTGAGGAATTGTTTCAGCGAGGACTTGTTAAGGTTGTCTTTGCTACTGAGACACTCGCTGCTGGAATAAACATGCCGGCTAGAACGGCTGTTATTTCATCTCTGACAAAAAAGGCTGGTAATGAACGAATACAGTTAGGTCCCAACGAATTGTTCCAGATGGCTGGGCGTGCTGGACGTAGAGGAATTGATGAAAAGGGCTACACTGTGTTGGTTCAGACTGCTTTTGAAGGCGCTGAAGAGTGCTGCAAACTTGTCTTTGCTGGAGTAAAACCTCTGGTGTCACAATTTACTGCTTCATATGGCATGGTGCTGAATCTTGTAGCTGGTTCAAAAGTAACTCGTAAATCAAGTGGAACTGAGGACGGGAAAGTCTTACAAGCAGGGAGAAGTCTGGAAGAAGCGAAGAAATTAGTTGAGAAGAGTTTTGGAAACTATGTGAGCAGCAATGTGCTGGTTGCTGCGAAAGAGGAACTTGCTGAAATCGACAAGAAGGTCGAGATTCTGACAGCAGAAATAAGTGATGAGGCAATAGATAAGAAGAGTAGGAAACTTCTTTCAGCGAAGGACTACAAGGAGATCACTGCACTTCAGGTAGAGCTGCGGGAAGAGAAACGCATGCGTGCTGAACTACGAAGAAGGATGGAACTCGAAAGGTTCTCGGCTCTAAAACCGCTTTTAAAAGGGATGGAAGAGGGTAACTTACCATTTATTTGTTTGGAGTTCAAGGATTCTGAAGGGATGCAGCAGTCAGTCCCTGCTGTTTACTTAGGACATATTGATTCATTTAACGGTTCAAAACTTCAGAAGATGATGTCTTTGGATGAGTCTTTTGGGTTGAATGTAATCGAGGATGAGCTGGCAGCTGATGAACCTGGAAAGCCTATTGTTAAACCATCTTACTACGTGGCTCTTGGCTCTGATAACTCATGGTATCTCTTTACTGAGAAGTGGATAAGGACTGTCTACAGAACTGGTTTCCCTAACGTTGCTCTAGCACTAGGAGATGCTTTGCCTCGAGAAATCATGAAGGCTCTCCTGGATAAGGCAGATATGCAGTGGGATAAACTAGCTGAATCCGAACTTGGAAGTTTGTGGAGAATGGAAGGATCTCTAGAGACATGGTCCTGGAGTTTAAACGTACCTGTCCTAAGCAGCCTTTCTGAAGAAGATGAGGTGTTACATATGTCCCAAGAGTATGATAATGCTGCGGAACAATACAGGAAACAAAGGAGCAAAGTGTCAAGTTTGAAGAAAAGGATATCTCGGTCAGCAGGGTTCAGAGAATATAAGAAAATTCTAGAGAACGCTAAGCTGACGGTTGAGAAGATGAAACGGCTCAAGGCGAGATCGAGACGCCTCATAAACCGTTTAGAGCAGATCGAACCGTCTGGTTGGAAAGATTTCATGCGCATAAGCAATGTGATTCATGAAAGCAGAGCATTGGACATTAACACACACTTAATATTTCCTTTGGGGGAGACAGCAGCTGCAATCCGAGGAGAAAACGAACTCTGGCTTGCAATGGTGCTCCGAAATAAAGTCCTGGTCGATCTGAAGCCTCCTCAACTAGCTGGTGTATGTGCAAGTTTAGTTTCCGAAGGCATAAAAGTTCGACCTTGGAGAGACAACAACTATATTTACGAGCCATCTGATACAGTGGTAGGCGTGGTTAATTTCCTAGAAGAACAAAGAAGCTCTCTTATAAAGCTTCAAGAGAAGCACGAGGTTATGATTCCGTGCTGTTTAGATATTCAATTCTCTGGTATGGTTGAAGCTTGGGCTTCTGGATTAAGTTGGAAAGAGATGATGATGGAATGTGCAATGGACGAAGGTGATCTCGCTCGTCTGTTACGACGCACCATTGATCTCTTGGCTCAGATTCCTAAGTTACCTGATATTGACCCGGTGCTGCAACGTACTGCAGCAGCTGCAGCAGACATCATGGACCGTCCACCAATCAGTGAGCTTGCAGGTTAAAGAGACTCCACGTTAGCTCTGTCTTTAGCGGCCCATTGGCAAAAAAAACTGCATATGTAAGAATTGGGGAATACAGAACAAATTTTCATTCAGGTGAT